TGTTTATTACTGTTTTTCTTGCTGTGTTTTTTTACTGTTTTGTATTGTTTTTTAATGTTTAATGTTTTTTAATGTTTTTAAATGTTTTTTAATGCTTTTTAATGTTTTTTAATGTATTTTTTTAATGTTTTTTTAATGTTTTTTAATGTTTTTTTAATGTTTTTAACGTTTTTAAACGTTTTTTTTTTAATGTTTTTTAATGTTTTTATTGTTTTTTAATGTTTTCTACTGTTTTTTTACTGTTTTCTACTGTTATTTACTAAGTTTTACTGGGTATTACTGTTTATTACTGTGTATTACTGTTTATTACTGTTTTTCTTGCTGTTTTTTTTACTGTTTTGTATTGTTTTTTAATGTTTAATGTTTTTTTTTAATGTTTTTTAATGTTTTTAAATGTTTTTTAATGTTTTTTAATGTTTTTTAATGTATTTTTTAATGTTTTTTTAATGTTTTTTAATGTTTTTTTAATGTTTTTAACGTTTTTAAACGTTTTTTTTTAATGTTTTTTAATGTTTTTATTGTTTTTTTAATGTTTCTCTACTGTTATTTACTGTTTTCTACTGTTATTTACTAATTTTTACTGTGTATTACTGTTTATTACTGTTTATTACTGTTTTTCTTGCTGTTTTTTTTGCTGTTTTTTTACTGTTTTGTATTGTTTTTTTAATGTTTAATGTTTTTTTTTAATGTTTTTTAATGTTTTTTAATGTTTTTTAATGTTTTTTAATGTTTTTAAATGTTTTTTAATGCTTTTTAATGTTTTTTAATGTATTTTTTAATGTTTTTTTAATGTTTTTTTAATGTTTTTAACGTTTTTAAACGTTTTTTTTTAATGTTTTTTAATGTTTTTATTGTTTTTTAATGTTTTCTACTGTTATTTACTGTTTTCTACTGTTATTTACTAATGTTTACTGTGTATTACTGTTTATTACTGTGTATTACTGTGTATTACTGTTTATTACTGTTTTTCTTGCTGTGTTTTTTTTACTGTTTTGTATTGTTTTTTAATGTTTAATGTTTTTTTTAATGTTTTTTAATGTTTTTAAATGTTTTTTAATGCTTTTTAATGTTTTTTAATGTATTTTTTAATGTTTTTTTAATGTTTTTAACGTTTTTTAAACGTTTTTTTTTTTTAATGTTTTTTAATGTTTTTTAATGTTTTTATTGTTTTTTAATGTTTTCTACTGTTATTTACTGTTTTCTACTGTTATTTACTAATGTTTACTGTGTATTACTGTTTATTACTGTTTATTACTGTGTATTACTGTGTATTACTGTTTTTCTTGCTGTGTTTTTTTACTGTTTTGTATTGTTTTTTAATGTTTAATGTTTTTTAATGTTTTTAAATGTTTTTTAATGCTTTTTAATGTTTTTTAATGTATTTTTTAATGTTTTTTTAATGTTTTTTAATGTTTTTTTAATGTTTTTAACGTTTTTAAACGTTTTTTTTTTTTAATGTTTTTTAATGTTTTTATTGTTTTTTAATGTTTTCTACTGTTATTTACTGTTTTCTACTGTTATTTACTAAGTTTTACTGGGTATTACTGTTTATTACTGTGTATTACTGTTTATTACTGTTTTTCTTGCTGTTTTTTTTACTGTTTTGTATTGTTTTTTAATGTTTAATGTTTTTTTTTTAATGTTTTTTAATGTTTTTAAATGTTTTTTAATGCTTTTTAATGTTTTTTAATGTATTTTTTAATGTTTTTTTAATGTTTTTTAATGTTTTTTTAATGTTTTTAACGTTTTTAAACGTTTTTTTTTAATGTTTTTATTGTTTTTTAATGTTTTCTACTGTTATTTACTGTTTTCTACTGTTATTTACTAATTTTTACTGTGTATTACTGTTTATTACTGTGTATTACTGTTTATTACTGTTTTTCTTGCTGTTTTTTTACTGTTTTGTATTGTTTTTTAATGTTTAATGTTTTTTTTTTAATGTTTTTTAATGTTTTTAAATGTTTTTTAATGCTTTTTAATGTTTTTTAATGTATTTTTAATGTTTTTTTTTAATGTTTTTTAATGTTTTTTTTAATGTTTTTAACGTTTTTAAACGTTTTTTTTT